GAGGGGTGTTCTCTCTGTGACAGAGGGTGTTCTCTCTGTGACAGAGGGGTGTTCTCTCTGTGACAGAGGGTGTTTCTCTCTGTGACAGAGGGGTGTTTTCTCTCTGTGTCAGAGGGGTGTTCTCTCTGTGTGACAGAGGGTGTTCTCTCTGTCTGTGACAGAGGGGTGTTCTCTCTGTGTCAGAGGGGTGTTCTCTCTGTGTCAGAGGGGTGTTCTCTCTGTGACAGAGGGGTGTTCTCTCTGTGACAGAGGGGTGTTCTCTCTGTGTCAGAGGGGTGTTCTCTCTGTGACAGAGGTCTCTGGTGTGTTCTCTCTGTGTCAGAGGGTGTTCTCTCTGTGTCAGAGGGGTGTTCTCTCTGTGTGACAGAGGGGTGTTCTCTCTGTGTCAGAGGGGTGTTCTCTCTGTGTGACAGAGGGGTGTTCTCTCTGTGTCAGAGGGTGTTTCTCTCTGTGTCAGAGGGGTGTTCTCTCTGTGTCAGAGGGTGTCTCTCTCTGTGTCAGAGGGTGTTCTCTCTGTGTCAGAGGGTGTTTCTCTCTGTGTGACAGAGGGTGTTCTCTCTGTGTCAGAGGGGTGTTCTCTCTCTCGTGTGACAGAGGGGTGTTCTCTCTGTGACAGAGGGGTGTTTCTCTCTGTGTGACAGAGGGTGTTCTCTCTGTGTCAGAGGGGTGTTCTCTCTGTGTGACAGAGGGGTGTTCTCTCTGTGTCAGAGGGGTGTCTGTGTCTCTCTCTGTGACAGAGGGGTGTTCTCTCTGTGTCAGAGGGGTGTTCTCTCTGTGACAGAGGGGTGTTCTCTCTGTCAGAGGGGTGTTCTCTCTGTGTCAGAGGGGTGTTCTCTCTGTGTCAGAGGGGTGTGTCTCTCTCTGTGACAGAGGGGTGTTCTCTCTGTGTCAGAGGGGTGTTCTCTCTGTGTGACAGAGGGGTTGTTCTCTCTGTGTGACAGAGGGGTGTTCTCTCTCTGTGTCAGAGGGGTGTTCTCTCTGTGTGACAGAGGGGTGTTCTCTCTGTGTGACAGAGGGGTGTTCTCTCTCTGTGTGTCAGAGGGGTGTTCTCTGTCTGTCTCTCTGTGACAGAGGGGTGTTCTCTCTGTGTGACAGAGGGGTGTTTCTCTCTGTGTCAGAGGGGTGTTCTCTCTGTGTCAGAGGGGTGTTCTCTCTGTGTCAGAGGGTGTTCTCTCTGTGACAGAGGGGTGTTCTCTCTGTGTCAGAGGGGTGTTCTCTCTGTGACAGAGGGGTGTTCTCTCTGTGTGACAGAGGGTGTTCTCTCTGTGTGACAGAGGGGGGTGTTCTCTCTGTGTCAGAGGGTGTTCTCTCTCTGTGTCAGAGGGGTGTTCTCTCTGTGTGACAGAGGGGTGTTCTCTCTGTGTGACAGAGGGGTGTTCTCTCTGTGTCAGAGGGGTGTTCTCTCTGTGACAGAGGGGTGTTCTCTCTGTGTCAGAGGGGTGTTCTCTCTGTGTGACAGAGGGGTGTTCTCTCTGTGTCAGAGGGGTGTTCTCTCTGTGTCAGAGGGGTGTTCTCTCTGTGACAGAGGGGTGTTCTCTCTCTCTCTGTGACAGAGGGTGTTCTCTCTGTGTGACAGAGGGGTGTTCTCTCTGTGACAGAGGGGTGTTCTCTCTGTGTCAGAGGGGTGTTCTCTGTTCTAGAGCTGGGGATCATTAAGGAGTTGCCGATACGATACACACCTCGATACAGTGAGCTTTCGATTTGATATTATATATTTAAAATCGATTTGATACGGTTCAATAAAAATAAAGGCTAAACCAGGAGAGTCAAACTCATTTTGTTCCGGGGGTCGTGTCCAAACGACTTTGATCCAAAGTGTCCGGATCAGAAAACTCATGTCATATAAACCCCAAAAATAACAATAAGTTCAAATATTTGTGCAGAGAAACACAAATCTATTACACAAATCTTTTTGAATTGATGAACTCTTTCTTTTACAAAATATTATAATATTATGAACAACCTGAAACTTTAAGAAAAATACAATTTCAACACAAAGTTTGAACATGAACTTGTCTGTAAACAGAATAAGTCCATTTTTGTTGTAAAATCCTGCACTCGGCTCCACTTTTCTCATGTTGGACATTTTTCTGATGAGGGGTCACGGTCAACAGTCAAAACCATCGTCCTTTAAGAGCGTTTGGAAAGAGACAAGTCTTCATTTGTGCTGCTCTGGTGGGAGGGGCCACGTACAGAGACGCTGCTGTGATAAACACCACAGAAAATTAACAACCATTTTAATAGAAAATATCATTCAAATATTTGAGTAGAAAATCAGCCGAGGGCCAGATTAAAGGTCTTGGAGGGCCGGATCCTGCCCCCGGGCCGTGTGTTTGACACCTGTGATCTAAATCGTGGCTGTGGCACTAAAAGTCTTTCTCAAACCTCTTCTTGTGCAAAGTTCATATGAAACACAAATTTTAATCCTCAAAACAGTGAAAATGTCAAATGTGTCACATAAGAGTTTCCTTCCTCTGAACAAGCAACAAAACTGTAGATCTGTAACAAAATAATTTAGTAAAATAAACCAAAAAATACACCTGGTTTAGTTCTGGTTTAGTCCTGGTTTAGACCTGGTTTAGACCTGGTTTAGTCCTGGTTTAGTCCTGGTTTAGTCCTGGTTTAGTCCTGGTTAGTCCTGGTTTACCTTTAGTCCTGGTTTAGTCCTGGTTTAGTTTCCTTAGTCCTGGTTTAGTCCTGGTTTAGTCCTGGTTTAGTCCTGGTTCAGTCCTGGTTTACACCTTTAGTCCTGGTTTAGTCCTGGTTCAGTCCTGGTTTAGACCTGGTTCAGTCAGGACTATAAACATACAGACACGATGGAAAAATAACCTTCTAAAACTCACCAGGTCAGCTGTGGTCGGGTCCTCGTCCTGGTCTAGATCCCGGTCTACGTCTCGGTCCAGATCTTGGTTCTGGTCCTGGTCCTGGTCCCGGTTCTGGTCTTGGTCCTGGTTGAACTGAGCCGCAGCTCTCTCTATGATCCTGAAGGTCTCCATCACAGACTCCACACAGCGCAGAGGGTCCAGAGGGTCCTGACTGAGACCACACACACCGGGTCAGACCTGGTCCAGTCCTGGTCCAGTCCTGGTCCAGTCTGGTCCTGGTCCAGTCCTGGTCCAGTCCTGGTCCAGTTCTGGTCCAGTCCTGGTCCAGTCCTGGTCCAGTTCTGGTCCAGTCCTGGTCCAGTCCTGGTCCAGTTCTGGTCCAGTCCTGGTCCAGTCCTGGTCTAGTCTGGTTCAGTACCTGGTCTTGGGCTCCTGGTCCGGACTAAGACCCAGAAGGACTCGGACTCTGTTGGACTTGACCTCCAGGACGTCTGTGTATCCCAACTCCTCCAGATACCTGTGACAGAAGAGAAAGTATTAGTACTGCTACTACTACTACTACTACTACTACTGCTACTACTACTGACTACTACTACTACTACTACTACTGCTACTACTACTACTACTGCTACTACTACTACTGCTACTACTGCTACTACTACTACTACTACTACTACTACTACTACTACTACTACTGCTACTACTACTACTACTACTACTGCTACTACTACTACTACTGCTACTACTACTACTACTACTACTACTACTACTACTACTACTACTACTACTACTACTACTACTACTACTACTACTACTACTACTACTACTACTACTACTGCTACTACTACTACTACTACTACTACTACTACTACTACTACTACTACTGCCTACTACTACTACTACTACTACTACTACTACTACTACTACTACTACTACTACTACTACTACTACTACTACTACTACTACTACTACTGCTACTACTACTACTACTACTACTACTACTACTACTACTACTACTACTACTGCTACTGCTACTACTACTACTACTACTACTACTACTAGGACTAAACCAGGTCTAAACCAGGACTACAACTAAACTAAACTAAAACCGGGTCTAAACCGGGACTAACTAAACCGGGTCTAAACCGGGTCTAAACCGGGTCAAACCACTAAACCGGGCTAAACTAAACTAAACGGGTCTAAACCGGGTCTAAACCGGGACTAAACCGTGTCTAAACCCGGGGTCTAAACCGGGTCTAAACCGGGTCTAAACCGGGACTAAACCGGGTCTAAACCGGGACTAAACCGTGTCTAAACCGGGTCTAAACCGGGTCTAAACCGGTCTAAACCGGGACTAAACCGTGTCTAAACTGTGTCTAAAACCGGGTCTAAACCGGGTCTAAACGACAAACCGGGTCTAAACCGTGTCTAAACCGGGTCTAAAAACTGGGTCTAAACCGGGTCTAAACCGGGACTAAACTGGGTCTAAAACCGGGGTCTAAACCGGGTCTAAAACCGGGTCTAAACCGTCTAAACCGGACTAAACCGGTTTCTAAACCGTGTCTAAACTGGGTCTAAACCGGGTCTAAACCGGGACTAAACCCTGGGTCTAAACCGGGTCTAAACCGGGACTAAACCGGTCTAAACCGGACTAAACCGTGTCTAAACCGGACTAAACTAAACCGTGTCTAAACCGGGTCTCTAAACCGGTCTAAAACCGGGTCTAAACCGGGTCTAAACCGGGTCTAAACCGGGACTAAACCGTGTCTAAACCGTGTCTAAACCAGGTCTAAAGGGACCGGACTAAACCGTGTCTCAAAAAACCGGGACTAAACCGTGTCTAAACCGGGACTAAACCTAAACCGTGTCTAAACCGGGTCTAAACCGGTACTAAACCGTGTCTAAACTGGGTCTAAACCGGGACTAAACCGGGTCTAAATCGTGTCTAAACCGGGTCTAAACCGTGTCTAAACCGTGTCTAAACCGGGACTAAACCGGGACTAAACCGGGTCTAAACCGTGTCTAAACCGTGTCTAAACCGGGTCTAAACCGTGTCTAAACCGGTCTAAACCGTTCTAAACGGGGACTAAACCGGGTCTAAAACCGTGTCTAAACCGGGTCTAAACCGTCTAAAACGGGTCTAAAACCGGGTCTCTAAACTGTCTAAACCGTGTC